CACACCCTTAATAGTTTCAGATCCTAGAGATTCAGTCTTTCTTAAAATGAGGATGATAAATACAACACTCAGAATTTTATATTGGGTAAAATAACTGAATTTTTGTCTTACAGAGCCATGGCTGAACTAGCTGACAGGCAAAGGTAAGAGCATTAGTACTTTTGATTTTTGTAGCCAAGTGGCCAATAATTTCTTATATCTTTTTCTGTAAATCCCTAAACAATCAATTTATTCAACGCTTTTGGAATACATTAAAGTATCTTCCAACACATGTAAGTGTAAGGAAAGAGAAAGATAGAAGTCCCATCCTACAAAGCACTATACAGCTTACATCTGGAAAAGCATTTGTACACTTAGTGGAGATTGTGTATTTGCCCTTGCATAGCATTCCTTATATTGAAGAAGCCTTTACATTTTTCCCTTTCTCTAGTAAACCAAAAAATAAAGGTTGTCTGTTAGCCTAGAGTTTGTTAAAGTGCTGGCAAGCTACCCTAAAACAAAAGCTCATTGCTCCAAGCAAAAACACAGTTAAAATTGACAATAGATACCTTTAAAAATGTGTTTTCAAGCAAAGATTTTTTTTTTAAAAAAAAAGGAAAAAAAAAGAAAGATATCACTGGAATAATTTTCTTGTGTTGGCATTTTGTCCTCTAAACCTAATTTCAGGCACTGTCCACCTAGCAGTGGACAGATGATTAGTCTCCAGGTGATTAGTTCTGTGGTAGAGAGAAGCCACTGTTAAGGTTACATTTATTACTGGGATTAGGGTTGGTGCTCTGGAGTGGAGGAATGAGCTGTGTAGCTCCAATTAAAGTTTGGGGAAGGAAAAGCCAGAGAAATACTTTTACTGCAGGATCTTGTTCATGTGGCGGGTCTAGGATGAGGGTTGGTGATGTGAAAGACTTATGCCTTATGGCTAGTTGTGATGGGAACTGGTGGTAAAAGTATTATTATTAAAGGCAGTATGGAGGTTGGATGCATGGTCTGGACTTAGGAAAGCAATCTGTAGAATTGTATCATGATTGCCCATATTTCAGATGCTTTATTCCAGGGGTGAATATCTGATAATGCATCCTAGAGGCAATGGGAGTGACTAACTATAATGAAGTTGACTGTATCGGTTGTGGTTAGGATTAGGATTCTGGAGGGCAGAGGTGGGAGATCTGCTTGTAATGTGGGGTCCTGGAGATTGTCATAGTGTCTGAAAAGATGATTGGCTTTGTCACAAGAATTGATAAGTCTGTAATGAAACAAATGGTTGGAGCTAGGGAGCAAGAAAGGACAGAGAACAGGGAGTATTAAGGAATCCTGTCCACTGGGGGGGCTGAGGTTGGCAAGGAAGAGTGTAGTCTGTATACTATAGCACTGAAAAGAGGATGGGCAGTATTACTATTATGATATTATTAAGATTAGGGTTGGGTGAAGTATCAGGCTTTAAGTAAACAAAAATTTATTGCTACCAGTCTTTTAATTTAGGGGTGATTTTCCAGCAATGAACTGTCAATGATTAAGGTGTGAGAGGACTACAGATAAAGCATTGGGCAGTTACGCAGACAGAATTTCGGGTAGAAGAGGACAAAGACCTGAATTTATTGGTAGGTCTTACAGAATTTAGAGACACAGACAGGGCTGATGATAGAAAGCTACTTAGATTAGCATTAATTCGGAAGTCTGTGGCCATTATTAGTCTGTCCAGAAGCCTATCCTAAGGGTAGAGCTCCTTTTCTCTGTGCAAGAAAGCATAGAGAGCTAAACTGAGTGTTGAATTCCATCAATCTGAGAAGGGATGAGTATGAAGTTGGTTGTTACTTGAAGAGTCAACAACAGCTAGATAGTATTGGTTTAGGGCAGGATGAGTAAGATTACCTGCAAGTGAAGGCCATATCTGGATATCTGGTTTCTGTTTGGAAAGTAGAGCTGCCTGTTGGCAGATTCCATCAAGCCTCACATTCTGGTTTCAGGAATAGTTCTCTTAGCAATGAATAATGTATAACTCATCCTGTGACAGAAAACAGTAACTAGGCTAAGGATGTTAGAATGTTAATGGTTAGTGTGCCTTAGGATCACAGGTCTGGTAAAAGATGGTTAAGGTCTTGGTTTTATACTAGTTCCTGAAGAAGCTAAGGAAGAAGATCAAACTTTGGTGTCAGAGAAGCAAGTCATTGTAGTATGAACTCTTTAGTACAAATCCATATTATATTTAGAAAACATCCTTATCATTAAAGCTTATGTTACAGTCTAAGAAAGGGGAGACTAGAAAAGCAAGGTGATAGGTGAACCTACTAAGTCCCATGTAATAGCATGTGGATTATTATTTGTAGTGAGCTGTGTGTTTCTCTCCAGACTTAATTTTTGGGTGTCCTAGCTGGTGGGGTTTTGTTTATTGGCTAAAGTTGTGTTTAGGTTTAATGTAAAAAAAGCTGAATTTAGATACTCAGTTTCTTGCAGGATCCTAACAGGTTGAGGCTGGTCCTACCTGTGAGTAATGGACAATCAATTGCCTGGCAGGAAAGTTGAACGGGTTTTGGATATGGTGACCAACAGAACTGAATTTGGATCTATGAATCTGTGCAGCAAAACACAAATATTAGTGTGGTTTCTTGCAGGGCACTGAGGCTTAGAGTTGTTCAAGACAGGAGATGAAATTTTTGGAATTTATGAAGAAATTTAGACTTAATGTTAAAATTGCAGTTCAGGAAAGCAGGGGCTGCAGATGTCAGCTATCAGTTATGAAGGGCAGGATGAAAGCTACTGTTAGGAAAGTTGTATGCTTTCTGCATGGGTGAGGAAGGTTTTTACTGAGAGGAGAGCAATGATTGCTGCTATGTTTTAGGTAAACAAAGTCTGAAAAGCTTTTTCTGCTGCTGGGTTCTGAGAGACCAATAATTCCCATTTCACTGTTGATCTTTTCTATTGTGCAGAGCAGGTATGTCGTATGTGACAGAAACTGAGGAATGAATAAGACTCTGGACAAGATTTTAAATTGGAATTTGCTTTAGGTCTTCAGTAATTGGTCCAGGATCAACATGGGTTTCTATGAAACTAAGATGAAGACTGACATCAAGAAAGCATGGATGGAAAAGAGGATTTGAAGAAATGTACTGCTGCCAGTTCTGTTGGGATAGGATAGGGACTGGACTTTGGAATGTATTTATGCCTTCTGAGAGAGACAGGTGCTAACAGGGGTCTGTTGAAGGATAAGGTTATACTTTTGTGATCCCTTTATAGATTATTTTTGAGACTGGATAGAATTATTTGCTGTAAAGAAAAGAAAGCAAGCAAGAAATCACAGGTTTGAGCTGTTTGTAAGGCTGGTATATAGCATTGCCAATGTTTCATCCTATTCATGCATGTTTCATTTGAACATTTAAAAAGAAATATTTATATTCTTTCTTTTAAATTTGAAATCTACATATATTTATAATGCTAAAAATGTTTTTAAACCAAACACTAAATGAAATAATGCTAGCTGGGACAAAACAAACATTAACCCTCATTCTTCATTTTATTTTCCATGTCAAGTTTTCCAAAATAAATTTTTCTCCCTAACTTTTCCATTTGTCCAATGTCCTGAGTTCAGCAGGAGCAGTCATTTTTTCTCCTTCTTAGTAGCTGGTGCAGTGCTGTAGGTTTGACTTTCAGCCTGGCAACAGCTCTGATAACACTGATGTTTTTAGTTGCTGCTCAGTAATGTTTGCTCTGACCAAGGACTTTCTGAGTCTCATGCTCTGCCAGGGAGGAGTAGAAGGCAGGAGGAAGCAGAGACAGGACACCTGATCCACACTAACCAAAGAGGTATTCCATACCACAGCACATCATGCACACTATATAAACTGGGGGCAGTTACTTGGAAGGGTTAGATCACTGCTTGGTCGGGCTGGGTATCTGTTGGTGGGTGGTGAGATGATGTATTCTCTTCCCTTGTTATTTCCCTTATCATTATTATTATTGGTGGCAGCAGCAGTGATTTGTGTTATACCTTAGTTACTGGACTGGTCTTATCTCAACCCGTGGAGTTACATTCTTTCAATTCTCCTCCTCATCCCGCCGGGAGCCGGGAGAGAAAGGGGTGGGGGGAGTGAGAGAGCGGCTGTGTGGCTGGGCTTAAACGACAACACCCAACTAAGCCAAAAACTTTTTTTATAGTTCTAAATTGTTTTGCCATACCAGATTTAACTTCCTACATGGAGGCTGATGCAGATAAAAAAAATTTAAAGAGAAAAATAGAATCATCCATACTATTAGTGAAAGTAAACACTTCAGCTGTTTTCTGTATCACCATAGCACAACACAGAGGAGCACATGAAGCATGTTAATAGGGTATCCTCGTAAGCTTCCATTGTTCACCTCCGTTGCTTTCCTTGTTTTGTAGATGAATGCAAAGTTTTGACATTCAGGGTTGTCCTTCTGGCAAATGTTATGAATATTAAACATTCATGTATGAAACCTGTTCAGATCCAACCTTGGAATCATTTTGACCTTGTTTATGACCAAAAAAAAAAGTGCCATATAAATTTCATATTCTGCCATCTGAGTAGCCTGAATGCAGAGAATGAAGGACAATATCCTGTTCTCCTAATTTCATTTTCCCATCAGTGTTTGTTTGAACTCTGTCTGTGGGTCAGGACAATGGATGTCTGCGCAAATATTTTCTGCTTACGCCAGCCAGGACTGTGTGCATAATTCCAGCTAAAATTTCAGCAACAGTTTATAGTCAGTTAAGCTGACTTTTCCCACATAGAAAATCACACTTTATGATTGAGAACTTTATTAATGAGCTCGATGGGTCACTTGGCTGTGGCAGAGCTTTGATTTTATGCAAACTTCCCCCCCCTTCCTTCTGGCTCCAGATCTTGACTGGAGTTTGAGGAACCTTATAATCATCAGAAAATGAAATGTTATTGAACCTGGAACAGTCCCATGAACATCAGAGATCTGCTGTGCACACAGGGAAAATAGAAGGTAAGTAAATGGCAAAAGAATGTAGTGAGTCACTTGACCTGCAGAAAGAAGGTAAACACAGGGAGGAGGACAGTAGCAAGTAGAGGATGCAATTTCCCTTTTGGTCAGCTGGGTGTGTTTTTCCACTCACTTCTAAATTTTATGCGAGTCCAAACATCATCAGCCTTGAATTTGTAAGTGACAGGGAAGTGGAAAGAGGTGGAAAGGGTACTTCCATGCTTTTCAGCCTGGAAAAACAAAGTAAGAATGTCTGCCAAAGAAATATGGACATTTTGGGTTTTCTTGAAAGATCCAAACATTGTTATTTCCTCTGGTTTTGTACGTGGTATCTGAAAGAGGGTGACTTGTAAGTGCTCCCATGGTCTTTGTATACACAAAGAGGAATGAGACATTTTCGGTGATATTTATTTTAGACTGATGGAAAGAACAAAGAGGCAGGCAGCTTCCAAGAAGGTGTTTCCTCAGTGTGACCCTGAACACAGTTTGGGAACAGTCTGGCTGCTGCTCCCTCTGAGCACAGGCACAGCTCCTGGAAACTGAAGTGCCTACTATGAGCAGTAGACAGACATGGCTGTGCCTCTGTGGGCAAGATCATGCAGCAAAATTCAGTTATTGACATGGAAATGTCCTTAAATCAGGGGCAGCTGGAATCAGGATCTTGGTTTGGATCACTGAGAGAGAGGCTCATTGGAGAGACAGGCCCATTTGAAAAAGCTGGATGCATAGTCAGATTTCAGGCAGCTTGATTACTCAAAAGATACTCAGAAATGGCTAGTGGTTTAGGTCCTTAGAAATATAGTATCAAGCTTTTTTATATTTTTACTATCAATACTGTGTACAGAATAATTGTGAAATAAATTCATATAACATCCATTACAGAAGAGAAAACTAATTACTTTCCCACACTATGTCCTCCGTACCAAGACCGCTTTGAGCACTGACCACTTTGAGCATTGACCACTTCAAACCTCCACCTTAGTCACAATTGTTTGTAAACAGTTTCAGGTCCAGTCTGGTTGGTCTGTATTTGACAGCACATCAGTTTTTTGCAGGACACTCAGTACTACTTTAAGTAAATATTCTACCCCATCCCTTCTAAAATTATATAACTCCTTTGGTTCCCTCATAAACTACACTGAAACTAACAGAAATTTAACAAATATGTTATAGATATCACAGTATCACAGTATCACAGTATGCTGGAGATTGGAAGGGACCTCAAAAGATCATCTAGTCCAATCCCCCTGCCAGAGCAGGAACACCTAGATAACGTTACACAGGAATGTGTCCAGGCGGGCTTTGAATGTCTCCAGGGAAGGAGACTCCACAACCTCCCTGGGCAGCCTGTTCCAGTGTTCCGTCACCCTCACTGAGAAGAAGTTCCTTCTCAAGTTTAAGTGGAACCTCTTGTGTTCCAGTTTGCACCCGTTACTCCTTGTCCTATCATTGTTTGCCACTGAGTAGAGCCTGGCTCCATCCTCGTGACACTCCCCCTTTATATATTTATAGACACTTATAAGGTCACCCCTCAGTCTCCTCTTCTCTAAACTATAAAGACCCAGCTCCCTCAGTCTTTCCTCATAAGGGAGATGCTCCACTCCCTTAATCATCTTGGTTGCCCTGCGCTGGACTCTCTCCAGCAGCTCCCTGTCCTTCTTGAACTGAGGGGCCCAGAACTGGACACAATATTCCAGATGGGGTCTCACCAGGGCAGAGTAGAGGGGAAGAAGGACCTCTCTCGACCTACTAACCACCGCCCTTCTAATGCATCCCAGGATGCCATTGGCCTTCTTAGCCACAAGGGCACAGTGTTGGCTCATGGTCATCCTGTCGTCCACTAGGACCCCCAGGTCCCTCTCCCCTACACTGCTCTCCAGCAGGTCGTTCCCCAACCTATACTGGAACCTGGGGTTGTTCCTGCCCAGATGCAGGACTCTACACTTTCCCTTGTTATATTTCATCCCGTTATTCCCTGCCCAACTCTCCAGCCTGTCCAGGTCTCGCTGGATGGCAGCACAGCCTTCTGGCGTGTCAGCCACTCCTCCCAGCTTAGTGTCATCAGCAAACTTGCTGATAGTACACTCAATTCCCTCATCTAAATCGTTGATGAATATATTAAATAATACTGGTCCCAGTACTGACCCTTGAGGCACTCCACTAGTTACAGGCCTCCAACTAGACTCAGCCCCATAGACCACAACTCTCTGGCTTCTCTCCTTCAGCCAGTTCGCAGTCCACCTCACTACCTGGTCATCCAGTCCACACTTCCTCAATTTAGCCGTGAGGATGCTGTGGGAGACTGTGTCAAAGGCTTTGCTGAAGTCAAGGTAGACCACATCCACCGCTCTGCCATCATCCATCCACCGTGTTATTTCCTCATAGAAGGCTAAGAGATTGGTCAAACATGATTTCCCCTTGGTGAAGCCATGTTGACTGCCCCTCATAACCCTCTTATCCTTGATATACTTTAAGATGGCACCAAGGACAAGGTGTTCCATCACTTTCCCAGGAAAGTGTTTCCACTCATTGAAACAGTAACATCCAGACCAACTGGAACTTACACAGTCTTCCAGATGTTGGCTTGCTATGAAAATCATGGTAGATTAAATTCTGTCCATTAAAGAGCAGCCAGTGAAAAAAACCCCAAACCTATACTTAAGAAAGAAACAAGAATATTTAAAGTAACTGGCCATTGCCCAGCTTACTTCTCCTTCCATTATAGAGAAGTTTTTTCATGGTCAAGTTCCTATTTCCAAGTAATCCAGATTCTTCCATCCCATTTCTACAACATCAGTTTACTGGACCTTCTGTGACAATTCCACTCTTCAGATGTTGCTGAACTGTTGAGCTTTTCACAGTCATGATTTTGTTTAGGATGGAAATTGGAGAATGATGGAATGAAGAGGAGAAATGAAATAATACCACCTCAGAAGGAAACCTGAAGTTGGTTTTGGAAAAGAAAGTATAAACCCCCCCCCCAGAATCTAAATGTTACATTTTGACAGCAGCAAAACAAAATTATCTTGACTGCAGACTTGGAGGTATTTGGCTCTGTTTGCCTTCTTAAACTTCTACACATATTTGAAGTCTAGAAATACCGAATCCTGGAAGACTGAGCTTTCAGATCCTAAAAAGGAGCCTTGAAGCTATCCAGATTCTTAGCTCTATTTTAGAAAAAAATTGTTCAACAACGTACTTGCTGGTACCTTTGGCATTCTTCTCCCCAAAGCTGTTAAATATTAAGTTAGTGAATATGCTCCAGAGTGTGACTCAAGAAATGAGGGCTCCCAGGTGAGTTTTTCTCACTGAGTATATTCAGCCAAAATTCAGGTATAGCACCAGAGCAGGCTTCTATTGGAAGCATGTTAGTATAATGACAGATCCCTTTGAGATACACTAGAATGATGACATTAGCTTTTCCCAGTCAGTTTTCCTCTGCCCCTGTTCAGTGACCCTTTGTTCATGTGAAAAACAACATGAAAGCTAACAACTACATTCCATGAACATTACCTAAGACACATTCGGTGGCTCCAGCTACAAACATTTCCTTCCATTGTTTTTTTTTGTTCTAATCATTGCATGACTTCAATAGATGTAAATACTCACTGTCACAACTGTTTTAACCTGTTTTATATCAGCCAACCTATCTGCTTCTAATTTCTTTTGGCTTTCAAAACAAGTTTATATAACATGTTAGATTTTTCTAATTTCCAACAACTCCAGACAAGCAATATAGACTTCTACGGATTTCAATCACTTGTAGATACTAATAGGATAATATCTCTAAATGAAACTTTGTCATGACAGCAGTGTGGCAGAACAAACTGCATAAATGAAGTGGCTGCAGAACAGCACTTGGCAGAGAAAAGGACTTATAACTGTTCAGTTCAGTATACCAGGACTTAAGTCCAAATGGAAAAGGGGTTTTGGAGTTGGAAGTGGATGCTTGACTTTAGCTCATTTTGTTTGTCAGCATTTCTGATTCTCTGGCTGCAATCTCTGCAGGTCTGGCTTTAAAATGCATTAAACCCATTAAAATACAGCTGAATGGCAGCATGTTTGCTGAGGGGAACATTTCTGCCAAGAGGAGAGAGAAGAAGCAGCAGCACCTGCCATGCCATTTATAGCAGCTGTCATCTTTCTAAAGCTATCAAATTCTCTTTCCACCTATAAAAGAAGCTGTATTTTCTTCTCACCTTTCCAGACATTTGAAATATTAAGAGGCAGCGCAGTTGCATGTTTTTCCCTTACTCTGTTCCTTCTAGCTTCTGTCCTTTTCTTATTACTCTGTATGTCTATCAACAGCCTTTTCTGTACCATTTTCCCTGCTACCGAATGTAGGACTTTGTAAGAAATTCTTAAAACAATTGTCATGGGTAAACTGAAAGCCAGATTAAAAAAAACCCAACCAAACAAAAATCAACCCCCAAACCATATCTAAGCATTTCATATCTCTAACAATCTCCAGAAGCATTTCAGGACAATGTCCAAAATGATTCTATTCTATGGTTCTATGTAATGCAATTAAGATACTGTGCTCTGGAATTGGCACAGTTGAGATTAATCTTCAATGCTCTAACTCAATGATAAATATTTCTAATGGCTGTGCTTATTGCAAACTTGAGGCTCCTTGTATCTGTCTGATTCTATTAGGCAGTTTAAAGCCTTGGATTAACCTTCAAGCAAACAAAGCATTAAGTCTTTTTGATTGTGAAAAACTAACTTCCCCAGCAGTGAGTAAGTATAGGGCTGTTGGCTAGTTCTTAGCTGTATTTTACATTTTACACATGAGAAAATGGAGACAAAGAACTTTGGGTAAGATTCACAGCCAGTAAGTAGCTGCAGTGATAACTCTGAGAGAGTCTTGCTCCCCACTCACGCACTGCCCCTGGACTGGCAGGACTGAAAGTGTTTGCTTGTTCTTGTTTTGTTCTGAAACAAAAAGGCATGAAGAGATCATCTATTGGGAGAAGGAGTAGGAAATTGCATGTTTTAACTTATTCCACCGATATTCTGCACATAAATTTTTTTATAGTTTATGTGACTGCACGTTCAAACATAAATGAAATGTACTAATTGTGGCCAGAAGTAGCTGAGAAAATACAGTGCGGCATTTATTTTCCTTAAATAAAAGAATCTTCTTTTTCTCTTTTTGTTTTTCTTTCATTGCTGTTTATGATTCTATACCTGTAAAAAATTAAACGATAAATGGAAACCTTTTCAGGGT